TATCTGACCAGTGGTTCTGAAAAGGTGCCTTGCTGCCTCTCCCAGGCCTGGAACACACTGCCCTGTGGGTGCCCTTTCCTCTCCTTCTGAAGTATTTACATTTGTATTATTTCACCAATGTGGGGGGCTACCCCAAGGAACAAGAACTGATAACTTGATTGTATCTACATGGCCAAGAGGACTCAACAACATGATTCCTCCTGGAACAAAGTGCCTCGATACAGTTTCGCTTCCACTCTTAAAGCCCTAACAAGTAAATATCTGAACGTAGAGACTGCCACCACTGAGAAGGCTTCCTTGACCCTCCCAAGCCTGACTTAGGTCCCCCTCCTTTGTGTTTGCTCACATAGCACCCCATGTTGCCTAAACCTACATAATGAGATGGAGGGCTCTGAGATCTACCTGGAATGTTTTTGAACCTTTGATGTCCGGCAGCAGGAGCAAACTAGTTTTTCTAACAACTGCCAGCATATACTTGCAATGTAGATACAAATTATCAATTTGTTTTCCTTGGGGGAGCATCCCACATGAGTAAAATAAAAAATAATACAAATGTAAATACTTTAGGAACATTCTGTTTTGTACAGTGCACTCTAGGAAAGGTGTTTTTTTTTGTTTGTTTTTTGCACTCTTACCCCTTTGGGATAGGAGACCTGGTGGCACACTGGTTAAAGAGCTTGGCTGCTAACCAAAAGGTTGGCAGTTCGAACCCACCAGCAGCTCAGTGGGAGAAAGATGTGGCAGTCTACTTCCGTAAAGATTTACAGCCTTGGAAACCTTATGGGGCGGTTCTACTCTGTCTTACAGTGTCGCTATAAGCTGGAATTGACTTGACGGCAGTGTGTTTGGTAGTGGGTATCCCTTTTGGATGTTTAGGGATTTGGTAATCCTCCTGCTGGGCCTAGGGGATGGGTTTGGGGCTCATGGGATTGGCGAAGAGAGATTAGTGAAGTGATTGATATGCTTAAGAAGGGGTTCTTACATTTTTAGCAAAGATTTTATAGAAGAATCTTTATCAAAAGGGGGAAAATACAGAACAGGATTTCAATTTCTAATGGACTCCAGATTTTCTGGAGCCATGGAGGCTGGATTAACCTGACACTATTGCTCTGAAATAATCTTTTTTTTTAATTGTATATTTTGTTTAATACTTGCATTGTTTCTATAGCGCAATTATAGCAATCTTTAAATTTACTTTTCATTACAAATATTTGTCAAGTTTTGTTTCAGAACATTTTTCCTACGCCCTGAGATAATCTTTAAACCTTAAACCAAAAACAACCCCTGAAGTCTTCTTAAAACCAAACCGTAGTTTACCTCAACTAGTAAAGAATGTTTCCCTTGAGCATTGGGCTCTTTTAAGATCTATCTATATGGGATCAAATCGACAACAACACTTGGACAGATTAGATAGGAAGCTTAGGGGGCAGTGAGTTTATGTTAGTGGAGGGAGGAACAAATCAGAAAAGAAGGGTGAGAAAGGTTGCACAACTCGAAGAATGTAATCAGTGTCACTGAATTGTAGAAACTGTTGAATTGGTGTATGTTTTGCTGTGTATATTCTCAACAACAATAACAAATAAAATTTAAAATAAATAAAAAAACAAGGGGTTCCCAGCAATAAGACTACAGATATGATTCGAGATGACCAGTGAGGAAATCCCTGTGTAGCGATCTCTAGAAGCTCTAGACCTGTTTAAAGAGTTGTTTTTTTTCTTTTCTTCATTGAAGCTTCCTTGTGGAGTTTCCTTCTGAGATAAACAAAAAAACCAAACCTGTTGCCATCGGGTTGACTTCGACTCACAGCGACCCTGTAGGACAGAGTAGAACTGCTCCATAGGGTTTCCAAGGAGTGCCTGGTGGATTCGAACTGCCGACATTTTGGTTAGCAGCCATAGCACTTAACCACTACACAACCAGGGTTTCCTCCTTTTGAGATAGGGACCAGGAAATAATGCTTAGGACAACGATCACCATCCTGTTGGAAGATTGATGTATAGGGCAGAAGTTGGTACTGATTTGGGGGATACCAGTGGACCCTGAAGGAGCCCTCGTGGCACAGTGGTTAAGTGCTTGGCTGATAACCAAAAGGTCGGCGTTTCAAACCTACCAGAGGCTATGAGGGAGAAAGATGTGGCAGTCTGCTTCCGTAAAGATTTACAGCCTTGGAAACCCTATGGAGGCAGTTCTACTCTGTCCTATAAGGTGGCTATGAGTCGGAATCAACTCAGTGGCAGTGGGTTTGGGTGATTTTGGGTGGACCTTGAGGGACTGACTGAGATGACAGGATCCCATAAGATGCCTTAAAAACCCTCAGCGGGTTATAGAATGCTTGGCTACACAGTTTTCAGGAAGAAAGAGGATGCATACAAACTTTATTAGAGTTTGCTCAAGATAGTACTTTTTGATTTTGACATTTGGGTGGAGGCTAGTTACATGAAAAAGGGGCCCTGGTGGCGCAATGGTTAAGCACTCGGCTGTGAACCAAAAGGTCGATGGCTTGAACCCACCAGCCGCTCCTCGGGAGAAAAGACCTGGTGATCTGCTTTCATAAAGATTACAGCCTAGGAAACAGTTCTACTCTGGGGCAGTTCTACTCTGTCATGTGGGGTCGCTATGAGCTGGTTAGTAGCCTAATGCTTAACCATTGCACCACTAGGACTCCTTTATTTGGGGGTGGTCTCTATATAATAAATATATAGATTGACTGTAAGACACCCCGGTTTCAGAATCAGTAAAGTATCGAAGCACATTTTAGACATTATGAAATGCCACATATAGTTCATGGACTGTCATAAAAGGTGCGTGATCATAATGGCTTATGACATCACTCACTATTGAAATACCCCTGCTGCACAGAACACAGGAGTATTTCAGTTCCTGAGTGAATTAAGAACCAGAAGCCTTTCTTCTGGCAGGTCAGTGATACACTATGTAATGTATAGCTCAAAATGTATGTCAGCAAATGTATAAAAGTCAAAATCCAGTGCCTTATAATGTCCAAGAATAGTGTATGAAAATTCAAATGATCAAAAGTTGAAGGTGTAGAATTTTAAATTTTATTTTATGGTTTATAGTTTTTTTTTAAAGCTTATTTTATAGTTTAAGTGGAAGAAGGGAATCTTATTTGTTTCCAAAAGATTAGGTGCTCCTCTTTATTTTCTCCACGAAGTAGTCTACTTCAGCAAAACAGTACAGTGTGGTATTTTGGCCTCTTGGGAAACATGGCATGTTCAAGTTTGCTAGAAAGATATATAATGATTGCTTTTAGTCATAAACCTCACTGAAAGTTCATCTGGATATTGGTCTAGAAAATGGCGGCGGGGGGTGGGAGGTGCGGGGTGGGGGAAGCAGAAATGCCACATTACCTCAGTTTAGGATCAGAAATGGGCAGTGAATGCTCTAATTTAAGGTTACTTGTAGAACCACTGGTCTCCAACTGGTTTATTTTTGTAATCTCCAAATTTTTCCACAGAGAATTCATAATAAAAAAATTTATGAGACAGTCCTATAATACATATTCCTAAAATCAAGAAAATGTGTATTTAAACAGCATTAACTAGAATTCTGCAGCTGATTTATTAAAAACAAAGGAAACATCACTGTCCTCTGAATGTTCTTGCCATCTTATCTTGACGCAAATAGAAACAGAACAGCTTTTTTAGATTCGGCATTTATCTGTGGTGCAGACGTGCCATTTTCGATGAATTTTCCCACCTCTGGGAAATGTACTTCTGAAACATGTAATTGTTGCGCAATAAATCAAGTGGAACTATGACGCAATAGTCCACTGCAAGTTGCCTTACAAAAATGATGTCATTTGGCGCAGATGTAGTCGCTTTTAAAACACAGGTAGATATGGCAAAGCTCCCTCCACGTAGTCCCCGCTCCCCCAACCCCCAACGTGTCCAAGATGCAAAAAGAATTTTCCGGGCTTCCTAACCCTCAACATGTCGCGGGCGGGCGCTCCGCAGTGGCTCAGCCCACCGCTCGCGCAGGCGGAGGAAGCCCGCACCTAGGGGACAAACACAGCAGAGCATCTCCAGCCCCGACGGTGGCGCCGCGGGGGAAGATGCGCCTAGCCAGGCCCACAGCCGAAGCGGTAGACCAGGTCGGCTGATTTCCTCGGGAACGACCTAAGCTTGGCCAGCCGCCGCTCGGGACACGGTGGGCGGGACGGCGACTGGAGCCACGGCCTCGGGACAGCCCTCCCCCGCCCCCGGCTCCCACTCCCAGCTCCCGCGGCGTCGACGCCGGAAGTGACGCGCGCCAAACGGGCGCTAGGCTGAAAGATGGCGGCATTGGCGCTCGACCAGGGGGAAGGTAAACACCCCCCGGGCCCCGGCCCGCGCGCCCGCGCCCTGGCTCCTCGCGGCGCGGACGGGGCGGGCCA